CTGAATCACGTTCAGGTCACAAAATGGATAGCAGGTCAATCATTCATACCCAGAGATGGTGACTTTGTGGATAAAGAGTGTTTGGTAGCTAAAATTCTCCTCAACTAAGCGGTGTTTCTTGCATTCCCTTGGTCTGTCGTGATTTGGTAGAAATAAATAGATATTACTCGGGAGCTATTCTTATCTTTTGAATGGAGTTGAATTCTATACGGATGTCAGATGCTTATATGAATTAAACGTTATGTTACGTGTTGTCTTTAGAATCAAGGGATCTGGCAGTTCCTCTGGCACTGCCACACCAACGCTGTATCACGGACTGAATCAACAACAAATAGTTGTCTTCAGGTTTCTTCTTTACTCGCTTTATTTTAGAAGGTTACGTAGTAGATATAATTTCTTGTGGGGGAATAAGAAGGAAAGGGAGAGAAATGATCTCAACTGGGTGAACTGTTACCTGTTCTCTCCACGTGGTGGATTGTCTCTCTACTGAGACCACGAGGCGCATATAAAATGGGCAATAAAGCCACTAACGCGCTTGGTTGAAATAATAGCAAAACCATACCGCAGGTTTTCGCGCGTTTTATGGTATTGTATAAAAAGCTAGACAAAGACTATAAATCACTGTCAGGATTTTACACTTAAGAGTTGAAAACAACCCCGCTCAGTTTGGGTCGTCAGAGTTCTTACCAGTAAGGTAGGGTCAGGAATTTTATTTACTATAATTACAATTTTGCCATTTTATTTAACCTACGCATTCTGTAATATAAACGTTAGAGTAAAAATCTGATAAATGGAAATAGTTTTTATAATATAATATATTATATAATGTAATTATAATTTTGCCATTTTATCTAACCTATGCATTCTGTAATATAAATATATATATATATATATATATTCAAAATCAGACAAATGAAAATAGTTTTTACAAATATTAATATTTCGGATTCTTTCATCGTCACTTTATGATCTCTAGAAATAACCAAGTTTTCAATTTGTCACGTTTTTTTTCCTTCTTTCATGTATGATTATGATTTCATTATATTTATGTAGTCATTAGTTCAGTACCCGTCGTTTCGCCGAGAAAAAGATGACCAAATTTGAAATCTAAATTGTTTGTCTGTTTAAAATGCTACATTTAAAAGCAAATATATTCATTAAAATGACATTATTCGCCCATTTCAAATGACACTTTTTCCTGTTAAACTTGAGTTTCTGTCAGACAGAAAGGATAATCGCCCTCGCAAGAAAAAAGCCAATTTGAATGCCATCCAAATTCTTTGTGTATGTACGCATGCGTGTCTGTATATGCATTTTTTAATTGAATCATAAACTTTATAATATTTCGGCAAACCATAAAAATTCGGAATTAAGTTTCAAACAATTAAGATATTTTTATTTTTATTTTGTCTCTAACTTATTTCAATCAGTATCTATTTTACATATTTATAGGTCTACCATGAAATCTTGATTTGAATACTGTTCTGGTTCTGCTGGTAAATATTTAGAGATTCTTTATAAAATCCAAAGAATAATCGGCAATGTTACTGGTCATGACCTGGTATGTCGGTTTCAGTCTCATTCCCATCGCCATAAAATGATTCACCTGTGTTTTTTTTTTTTATAAATATTTTCATGTTCTGAAGGAATTTCATCTATGGTATCTAAACTTTGAGTTTAATTGCAATATTAGACTGGTGACAAGGTTTCATTATTTTAAAGTTGCAATGCCTACATGTAACCGTAAGTTCTTGTCTAATAGCTTCTTCTATCACATTTCTCACTTGTGGAACTCTCTTCCGGCTTCTTGTTTCCCAGTCAACTTTGAGCTTCAAAAGTTTAAATGCAATGTTCATCTTCTGTTTTCTTAATTGCTTTTCGTTTTTGTTCCCTCTCCTTAGTAGAATTTTTCCCATATTCTTTTAGACTCAGTAACCCCTCGCATCTTAGTGGCTTTATTATCTTGATTTAGGTGAAATGATTAAAAAAGTAGTGCAGAGTTAAAAGCTGAAACCGAAGGTTTTCTTCTTGCTTCACAGGACCAAATGCTTTCTAACTAGAATTTACTGAGCACACACACTGAAAAATTATGTCAAACCAAAATGCAGATTATATGATAATATCCATACATAACTGACAGTCTTATATCAAATTGCATGGCATTGGCAACCAATGAAATAAAAAACTTCATGACAGAGTGGGCCAATATCTACACTGGAAAATCTGCACCTTTTCCGGAAAGAAAACTGCAAGAGATTGGTATGAACACGACGATATTCAGTCACCCCCCCCACGAGGGTGTCATGTGGCACAAGGCCTTTTTAACGTGGGCATTCCCGAGCCATTAGGCTCGGCCAAAAAATAGCCCATTTGAACCCGTATAAACGGGTTCTGGGCCGGTTTAACCTCCCCGAAGGAGACTCCGCCCTTCGGCGTAGCCTCCTTCGGGTTCCTCCCGCCCGGAGGAAGATAGTTGAACCGAACAGTCGCTCAAGAGTTGAGCGACTGACTCCAAATTGGTATGAACACGACCCAGACCCAGTTACAAAGATTGGTCCTGTAACAATTTTATGGGACTTTAAAATACACAGACAGAACAATCAAATCAAAGACTCCTTGGAAATCATTGGGAGTGCGCAGGTGGCAGTGCTGCTTGCAACAGCTCATGTACTGAGGAAATAGTTTATTTTTTAAGCTGTGTGCAAGAGATGAGATATAATAATAATAATAATAATAATAATAATAATGTATAGCTAGGGCGGCGAGCCAATACCTATTACAGACGCTTGCTCAGGCGCATTTGTGTTTATTCAACACCCACAGAGCCCATCTGTGTTTTATACTGCAACTATGCTGAGCAGACCTTAGTTACAGCGTGTTATCTAGCATGATCTACAGTTTCAACAAGGGCAGCATGCTCAAGCTCTCGGCCACGATGACTTGTGACTTCGTGCTAGCACAGCTATCGACGGCCTCAAAGGAGTTCCGTCAACCCACTTTCACTCACGAGGCATGGTGTGGTTTTCAGGCACTTTCCAAAAGTGCTGCGCGCTGGGATCGGCCTCTCCTATGCGGTAACATCAGGGAGTCTCCTTCCTGACAAATTGGCCACGTGCTAATAATAATAATAATAATAATAATAATAATAACCTAATACTCCACCAGATTTGGCTGTCATGGCTTCATTGATTGAGTGTTTAGGCATTACCATGTTCATGTTTTTTTTTCAGGATGAATAAAGATGGATGACATTAAATATCTTGTTCAGTACTACAGATATAGATTCGCCTGTCCGTTACCTGACCATAATCAGCTGTGAATGTCCCCCTTGCCAGCATTTGAACTCTGCTCATTATCGGGACTACTAAGCGAGCATCCTGGCCAGGTGTCGAGAGGTTTCATTTTTTTCTATGTTTGAAAGATGAGGCAGCCCCGGTGACTTAGGAGGTACATCTAGAAACTGAACGGACTGGGTTACCGGACGTGAAAATATTTTGACTTTGGTTCCCCTTGCGTTTGTAGATTTTATCAAAACCTTTTACCATATAGCGTATATTTGGCCGTGTTGCACGGACTTTGTATACTCTAATCCAACAGTGTGTCATGATGGGTGTAATGCGTTTCGTCTATTTCCACCCTGACGTCAATTTGCTGCTCAACAAGAACAACAACAATAAATAGAAAAACTCTTGAAACTTTCACTGTTTTGCTATTTGTTTGTTTTTTTTTTGTAATGAATCTTAATTCTTCAGTTAGTTCTTCAGTTAATCACGGCGTTTCGACTGTTATTCACCTCTTTCCTACATCAGGTGTTTATCGATCTAGGTAACCTACATAGAATTATGAACTAAACCCTTTATTTAATCTCTGTGAGTAGACTGTTCTATTTTCCACTGCTTGTGTATAGAGATACCGTCTAGTTTTTATTTTTATATAGTACTGCTCGTTTATTGCTCATCCGTTTCCGCAGAGTGCAAGAACACATTGTCAGATCCAGTGATCATGGCGAGTTCTAAAACAATAAAATATCCGTAGAAATTACCTTATTGCATCGTTAAATATTTGAGATTAACAACTTTAACAAAATATTGCATTAACAGTCATATATATGAATGCTGGTCGTTAATTTAAGAAGTAAGAGGGTACAAATAAAAAAAATGAAATTGACAACTTTTTCCATTTCACTGAAACAGACGTTAAATACTTCTATCTCCCCTTCTTTCTTTAATTTTTTCACTGAAACCAAGTAGCGTCTCTATGTTATTTTTCTTTTCCCCGAAATAGTCCATCATTTGTGAGGGATTGGCAGGAGGCATTAAACATTCCTATCTTCCTTTCTCTTTTACCTTCTTTCTTCCCTTCATTTTCTCACTGTAGCCCAGTAGTATATTCCCCACCTTTCCACTCGACCAAAAAGGAATAATCCATTATTTATGAGGTATGGCAGGACGTAATGGTTGTGCGATCTAACGAAGCACTATTAAAATAGGACAATAATGTTTGACTGTGGTACATATCCTTGGTATGTCCTTATCGGACTAGCCGCCATGATGAGTATATTAGCCTTCGTATATTTGTACCACAGGCTCACGTTGTTAGCATAATGCTCTCTCGCTAAATAATAATAATAATAATAATAATAATAATAATAATAATAATAATCTTGATAAGCGTTGAAGTGTATGAGTTTTCTCAAATAATTCAAGAATTTGTTCTATAGCGAATTGTACGTAGGAAGCTCTTTGCCGTCGCCATTTTATTTTGTTTCTGATAAAGTCTGTTTCTTGTTCGTCATTCATGCTTAGCGAAGTCGAACACAGTTTATTTACTTATGGCTCGTCATTTGAGAGTAAATCGAATTAACCTTAAGCTTGGCCAATGTGGAATCAGCCGTAATTACCTTAAAACTGGCATTTTGTAACCACAAAAAGAATAAACCGAAGTTACTTCATATGTGTACGTGACATCATTTGCGCATATCGACATTTTAGGGTAACCAAATGCAAGACAAACAGATGTTTTTCTTCCAAATTTTTTCTTCTTTGATTCTTCCATTGTTCGTTCTCCTTCCTTCCACGGTTTTATTTAAATGAATGATTCTTAACCTTTTCCTTTTCCAGCACTCCTTTTCGGATATTTGCATTAGCTAACGTCCACCGCGTTAAAAGTGCACTGGCAAATGGAGCAGAGTTAATGTCATGCGTTCACTACCGAAGGAAGGTAAGCCGTGGCGGGAATAGCTAATCTGCGGGCATTTCGCCGGATCCTGGAAACGGCTTGACTTTAATTTACAAGTTTTTCTCCTTGTAAATTGTCTGTGGTGCGAAAGTAAACGCAACAGAACTACGAGAATTTGAACTCGACACCGATTCAAATCGCCGCCTCCCGATAACAGTTACGCTATGTGATAAAAAGAATTCAATATTGTCTATAATATTATAACATTTAAATTATAACACCCGAAGAACTTACCGCTCCCCTGCGAGTTCAAAGCGTCCCCATGCTGGCGATATTGCCTACATTAAGAATCATTATTATTCTAAATATTCATTCATTTATACTCCAGTTACCACACATCATGACAGTATAATGATGGAGTATTTTGGGATATTATTTTAATTGAAATGGCAGTTATTACTAAAAAAAATGGATCAGATCCACAAATGTCCTTTGAATTGTTTCATGTTAAACTGTTTTGATCGATCATAATTTACATCCTTATATACATCAATAAATTTTAAAATAAGCCCTATATAGTGAAATAGTGACAATAAAACACTATATACTCTAGTTGACGTGATAAGGACACATGGAACAGTGGATAAAGACGTTGGTTAGACCCAGTGACAGGACCCAAAGGGTTGTGTGTTCAATACCTGGTTAAAGCAGTGGAGAACTTGGTGAGTTGAATTAACAGGAGATAACTGATAACTGACATCAATTAGACATGGCACGTAGAACTAGAACAATCTACCCCAGTGAGCGAAATAAAGGATTCAGTTTGGCATTCCAACCACCTGAAGAAGGCCGGTGCGTACAACGGCTGAAACGTTGTGATAAATATGGCAACAAAGATGAGGACAATATTCCGAATAATATATATAGTGGAATAAGCAATATTTCTCATTTTAAGGAAACGGAAAATACAACGCAAAAGAAAGATATTTCTGTAGTTTATGTGAAAAGTACAGTGAATAATGGAACATGTCAACAGAAGTTCGTAAAGTTTCATACTGCAGCAGATTTCGCACCGAAGAAACGCTTCATAACGACATTAATAAAAGAGAAAAGACGAATTATACAATAAAGTAACGACTTTTATCAATACGTAAAAACAAGACAATATGAGGAATAGTTTAACACTTGAGCGAATTATAATAAAGTAATTCGAATTCCTCTTTGTTCCCCCAAACTTGGAGTTTACCAATACGTACTCGACAACTAACACCTGCAAAATACTCTTATGTGTTTCACTAACAAACACAACTTACCAAAATCTGGCGAATCGATTTTTAATTGAATGTGTGCAGTTTAATAGCCACTTGAACTCCTATCACAATATATTTTCTGATACGTCAAAGAAACGTTTCCTTTTCTTGTTTTAAAAGGCTTTAATCATATTTAGTGCATAATAAAGCATACGGTTGATGTTCGAATGGAAAAGAAATAGACTCTAACGAAAGTAAAATGACGTCATAATAGGAGGTAAAATGGAGAAGTGTTTATTCTTCAACCTTGAAAAGTTGGTTTGGTTGATATTGGGATATCAATAAACACTTAGTAGGCTTCTGAAAGGCTTTTTTCTTCTTCTTCTTCTTTTAAATAATACGTATAATAGGGGATTCCCAAATAATAAAGCCTGGCTTAGTTGAGATAATGTGCAATCAATATTGAACACGTCTTTGTTTTTATGAAAACAAAAACAAAGAAACTGTTTTTGTTATAGGTCTTAGCCCCAACTTGTAAAACTATAAATATCTGCTCGTTTCTCTATTCACTTTATACATTAAGTACTCTAGAGATGTGCCCTTATACTAGACTTTGTTGGAGTAAATAAATCGTTTGTCTTCTAAAATGATCTCGACAAATAATAATTCAATCGAAACGGCATCACTGGAAATCTGGATCAGATCCACAAATGTCCTTTAAAGAGATGAATTGCTTCATGTTAAACTGTTTTGATCATTCATAAATTATATACTTATTATATACATCCATAAATTTTAAAATAAGCCGTTTATAGTGAAGTGGTGATAATGCAACACTATTTGCTCTAGATATGATCATTTGGCTAAAATGATAGAAAACAAATTCTTTTTTATCAGAGCAGAATGAATTCAATAATTTTGTCTTGCTTTTGTTTTTTCACTGACGAAAGAGAGTTACTCATTGCTCCTTCTCGGACTTTCATTCTCGGCTGACATGAAGTGGAAAGATTATATTGAATCAATTGCTAGGTCATTTGCTAAGAAAGTTCGTTCACTGTGTCATGCTAAACAATTTTTCTCGCCAGAATCTATCTTACATATCTATATATCCTCCATTCGTCCATGTTTCCGATATTGCTGTCACAGACGTTCCGGTGCTCTTTTTATATATTTGGAGATTCGTGATAAAATACAAAAAAGAATCAGCAATATTATTGGTACTAACCTGGCGTCTCGGCTTCAGTCGATTTGCCACCACCGTAAAGTTGCTTCCCTCTGGCTTTTCTATAAATACTTTCATGGTAATTGTTCGGATGAAGTCTTCAGTATTACTATTTTATTCCCCACTCCCCACAGACAATGAATTGTCCATATGGCGATTAGTTAGGACTTTCATAGAGACATTGCGGTATTATAGTGAATGCAGTAAAAAAAGGTAAGTAAAAATGCGTTGTTTTGGTGTTAGGAATATTGTCGTATGTTTGGGTCAGTGTTTGTGGCTAGCTAAGTTTAATGTTAAGACAAAAGAATACCGTCATTTTTCTCCATTTTGGCCTTGTGCCACATTTTGTAAATTTTACAAAGAAATAATGCTCTTCGCTATGGTACTTTGACTTTATGAAGTTAAGCGCAGTACTATATTGACAACAAGGTGTCACCAATTTACAGTTAAATTGGCTAGAAGTAACTATAAGTTCTATGCTAACAGTTTCTTCTGTCGTACTCCTATCTACTTCCGGCTCCATGATTTCCAACCAACTTTGATTTTCAAACATTTAAACGCAATGCCAGTTGTAGGTTACTGATCCTTCTTCTATTGTTCTCGCCTCTTAATAATGTTTCTGTTTTCTAATTCTTTCACAACCAGTAACCCCTTGTGTCTTAGTGGCTTTACTATCTTCCTTGGAGTGAATTCGATTAAAAAAATCTGCACATAAATTTTACTATCGCTTTTCACAATGATCTCAATAAATAATAATTTATTCTCTTTCGATAGAACCATACTTATCACTTGGTCTGGATCAGTTCCAGAGCGAAGCAGCAGTTTATGGTAATGAGACCTTATTCCGCTTTACATTCTTCCATCTACCCATCCATATACCATGCGAGTGTTGAAAAAGAGAATGGGCGTATAAGCATCTGGACGGAATTGGTATAATAAGTGGGAAAAATAATTTCCCACTTGTGAATAACTACTTTCTGTTCCTGATTTGTATTCCATGTTTATTGTTCTCGTCAAGGTCGATTAAAAGAAAAAAAAACACGAGATTCTGCAAATATGGCTATTCGTCTTGAATAACGTAAATCCCATTTTGCAGAAAAAATTCCAAACATCGTGCTTGATGGGCGACACACAATTTCAGGACAAGTTCTTCCTTTCACTAAGCCTCAGAAATCATTCTGTTTCATCGAACGGAATTGTTATTTGGCATGCGTATCTAACACCTGGATGAATGGGAATCTTTATTTTTTTTCTTTCTGTGCGTGTTTGGTGTGTTTGGTGTGTTTTTTCGGTTCTCCTTTTCTGTTTTTTTTTATGAGAGCGTTTCCAATTTAAGGCAAGTGTGGCTAAATCTTAATGACGTCATCTCAAAGTGGCTATTGTTGGCCAAGGAAGCTCGTCATGCGAACTCGGGCGAATGCAGATTGTGAAAACAAAGAAAATATACTGGCAAGTTGAGTAATTATGTCGTCACAGACAAACCGAATCAATACATGTAGATACTTGACGGCAAGATTCTTTCTATTCTCTATTAAATTATATATGCATGTCTTTATTTATATGCATGTCTTTCTTTCTTTCTTTCTTTCTTTTTTCTTTCATTTTTTATATCATTCTTTCTTTATCCGCCATTTATTCTTTTCTTCTTTCTCTCCTGTCGCATTTTCATTCTTTTTCTTTCTCCTTTTTCGTTTTCTTGTCATTTTCTTTTATCTTCACTTTTACTTTCATGTTTTTTTTTTCTTTTTTCTCTCACCTTTTGGTATTTCTTTCCTTCCTTCTTTCTTTTTCTCGTCAAATTTGCACATTTTTTGTAAATTTCCTCTTTTCCTTTCTGTTTTCTTTTTTTTTCGCATATTTTTTTTCATTTTTTCTTTGTTTAGCTGTTCACATTTCTTTTTCATCTTATTATTTTCCATTTCTTTGTATCTTTCTTTCCTTTCACCTTCTCATTTTCTATTTTTACTTTCATCTTTACATTTTCGAGTTCTTTCCCTCTTTTCATCTTCTCAGTTTTTCTTTCTTTCTTTCTTTTCTCCTTTCATCTTTTTTCCTTTCATCTTCTCAGTTTTTATTTCTTTCTTTTCTTCTTTTCATCTTCTCAGTTTTACTTTCTTCTTTCTTTCTTTCTTTCTTTCTTTCTTTCTTTTCATCTTATCAGTTTTTTTTTCTTTCCTTCTTTTCATCTTCGTAGTTTTTCTTTCTTTCTTTCCTTCTTTTCATCTTCTCAGTTTTTATTTCTTTCTTTTCTTCTTTTCATCTTCTCAGTTTTTATTTCTTTCTTTTCTTCTTTTCATCGTATCAGTTTCTTTTCTTTCTTTCCTTCTTTTAATCTTCTCAGTTTTTATTTCTTTCTTTCCTTCTTTTCATCTTATCAGTTTTTATTTCTTTCTTTTCTTCTTTTCATCTTATCAGTATTTATTTCTTTCTTTCCTTCTTTTCATCTTCTCAGTTTTTATTTCTTTCTTTCCTTCTTTTAATCTTCTCAGTTTTTATTTCTTTCTTTTCTTCTTTTCATCTTCTCAGTTTTTCTTTCTTTCTTTTCTTCTTTCCATCTACTCAGTTTTTATTTCTTTTCTTCTTTCCATCTTCTCAGTTTTTATTTCTTTCTTTCCTTCTTTTCATCGTATCAGTTTCTTTTCTTTCTATTCTTCTTTTAATCTTCTCACTTTTTATTTCTTTCTTTCTCCTTTCATATTTTTTCCTTTCATCTTATCAGTTTTTATTTCTTTCTTTTCTTCTTTTCATCTTCTCAGTTTTACTTTCTTCGTTCTTTCTTTCTTTCCTTCTTTTCATCTTATCAGTTTTTTTCTTTCCTTCTTTTCATCTTCGTAGTTTTTCTTTCTTTCTTTCCTTCTTTTCATCTTCTCAGTTTTTATTTCTTTCTTTTCTTCTTTTCATCTTCTCAGTTTTTATTTCTTTCTTTTCTTCTTTTCATCGTATCAGTTTCTTTTCTTTCTTTCCTTCTTTTAATCTTCTCAGTTTTTATTTCTTTCTTTCCTTCTTTTCATCTTATCAGTTTTTATTTCTTTCTTTTCTTCTTTTGATCTTCTCAGTTTTTATTTCTTTCTTTCCTTCTTTTAATCTTCTCAGTTTTTCTTTCTTTCTTTCCTTCTTTTAATCTTCTCAGTTTTTCTTTCTTTCTTTTCTTCTTTTGATCTTCTCAGTTTTTATTTCTTTCTTTCCTTCTTTTCATCTTATCAGTTTTTATTTCTTTCTTTCCTTCTTTTAATCTTCTCAGTTTTTATTTCTTTCTTTTCTTCTTTTCATCTTCTCAGTTTTTCTTTCTTTCTTTTCTTCTTTCCATCTACTCAGTTTTTATTTCTTTTCTTCATTCCATCTTCTCAGTTTTTATTTCTTTCTTTCCTTCTTTTCATCGTATCAGTTTCTTTTCTTTCTATTCTTCTTTTAATATTCTCACTTTTTATTTCTTTCTTTCTTTTCTCCTTTCATCTTTTTTCCTTTCATCTTATCAGTTTTTCTTTCTTTCTTTTCTTCTTTTCATCTTCTCAGTTTTACTTTCTTCTTTCTTTCTTTCTTTCTTTCTTTCTTTCTTTTCATCTTATCAGTTTTTTTCTTTCCTTCTTTTCATCTTCGTAGTTTTTCTTTCTTCCTTTCCTTCTTTTAATCTTCTCAGTTTTTATTTCTTTCTTTCCTTCTTTTCATCTACTCAGTTTTTCTTTCTTTCTTTCTTTCCTTCTTTTCATCTTATCAGTTTTTCTTTCTTTCCTTCTTTTAATCTTCTCAGTTTTTATTTCTTTCTTTCCTTCTTTTCATCTTCTCAGTTTTTATTTCTTTCTTTCTTTCTTTTCATCTTCTCAGTTTTTCTTTCTTTCTTTCCTTCTTTTCATCTTCTCAGTTTTTATTTCTTTCTTTCCTTCTTTTCATCTTTTCAGTTTTTCTTTCTTTCTTTTCTTCTTTTCATCTTATCAGTTTTTCTTTCTTTCTTTCCTTCTTTTCATCTTCTCAGTTTTTCTTTCTTTCGTTTCTTCTTTTCATCTTCTCAGTTTTTATTTCTTTCTTTTCTTCTTTTCATCTTCTCAGTTTTTCTTTCATTCTTTTCTTCTTTCCATCTACTCAGTTTTTATTTCTGTCTTTCAATCTTTTCATCTTCTCAGTTTTTATTTCTTTCTTTCCTTCTTTTCATCGTATCAGTTTTTCTTTTTTCTTTCCTTCTTTTAATCTTCTTAGTTTTTCTTACTTTCTTTCTTTCCTTCTTTTGATCTTATCAGTTTTTATTTCTTTCTTTCCTTCTTTTCATCCTATTTTTTCTTTCTTTCTTTTCTTCTTTTCATCTTATCAGTTATTATTTCTTTCTTTTCGTCTTCTCATCTTATCAGTTTTTATTTCTTTTCTTCTTTTAATACCATCAGTTTTTATTTCTTTCTTTCCTTCTTTTCATCTTCTCAGTTTTTCTTTCTTGCTTTTCATCTTCTCAGTTTTTCTTTCTTTCTTTCATTCTTTTCATCTTATCAGTTTTTCTTTCTTATTTTCCCTCTTTTCATCTTCTCAGTTTTTCTTTCTTTCATTTCTTCTTTTCAACTTATCAGTTTTTCTTTCTTTTTTTCCCTCTTTTCATCTTCTCAGTTTTTATTTCTTTCATTTCTTCTTTTCATCTTCTCAGTTTTTCTTTCTTTCTTTCCTTCTTTTCATTGTATCAGTTTTTTTTCTTTCCTTTATTTCATTTTCTCAGTTTTTATTTCTTTCTTTCCCTATTTTCATCTTCTCAGTTTTTCTTTCTTTCTTTCCTTCTTTTAATCTTCTCAGTTTTTCTTTCTTGCTTTTCATCTTCTCAGTTTTTATTTCTTTCTTTCCTTTTTTTCATCTTATCAGTTTTTATTTATGTCTTTCTCTATTTTCATCTTCTTATTTTTTCTTTCTTTCTTTTCTTCTTTTCATCTTATCAGTTTTTCTTTCTTTCATTCCTTCTTTTCATCCTATCAGTTTTTCTTTCTTTCTTTTCTTCTTTTCATCTTCTCAGTTTTTATTTCTTTCTTTCCTTCTTTTCATCTTCTCAGTTTTTCTTTCTTTCTTTCCTTCTTTTCATAGTATCAGTTTTTCTTTCTTTCTTTCCTTCTTTTAATCTTCTCAGTTTTTATTTCTTTCTTTCCTTCTTTTCATCTTCTCAGTTTTTTTCTTTCTTTCCTTCTTTTCATCTTCTCAGTTTTTCTTTCTTTCTTTCCTTCTTTTCATCTTCTCAGTTTTTCTTTCTTTCTTTCCTTCTTTTCATCTTATCAGTTTTTATTTTTTTTCTTTCCTTCTTTTCATCTTATCAGTTTTTCTTTCTTTCTTTTCATCTTCTCAGTTTTTCTTTCTTTCTTTCCTTCTTTTCATCTTCTCAGTTTTTATTTCTTTCTTTCCATTCTTTCATCTTATCAGTTTTTCTTTCTTTCCCTATTTTCATCTTCTTATTTTTACTTTCTTTCTTTTCTTCTTTTCATCTTATCAGTTTTTCTTTCTTTCTTTCGCTCTTTTCATCTTCTCAGTTTTTCTTTCTTTCTTTCCTACTTTTCATACTATAAGTTTTTCTTTCTTTCTTTTCTTCTTTTCATCGTATCAGTTTTTATTTCTTTCTTTCCTTCTTTTCATCGTATCAGTTTTTTTCTTTTTTTCTTTTCATCTTCTCAGTTTTTCTTTCTTTCGTTTTTTCTTTTCATCTTCTCAGTTTTTTTTTCTTTTTTTCCCTATTTTCATCTTCTCAGTTTTTCTGTCTTTCATTTCTTCTTTTCATCTTATCAGTTTTTCTTTCTTTTTTTCCCTCTTTTCATCTTCTCAGTTTTTCTGTCTTTCATTTCTTCTTTTCATCTTATCAGTTTTTCTTTCTTTTTTTCCCTCTTTTCATCTTCTCGGTTTTTCTTTCTTTCATTTCTTCTTTTCATCTTATCAGTTTTTCTTTCTTTTTTTCCCTCTTTTCATCTTCTCAGTTTTTCTTTCTTTCATTTCTTCTTTTCATCTTATCAGTTTTTCTTTTTTTTTCCCTCTTTTTCATCTTTCTCAGTTTTTTTTTTCTTTCATTTCTTCTTTTCATCTTATCAGTTTTTTTTTTTTTTTTTCCCTCTTTTCATCTTCTCAGTTTTTTTCTTTCTTTCATTTCTTCTTTTCATCTTATCAGTTTTTCTTTTTTTTTTCCCTCTTTTCATCTTCTCAGTTTTTTTTTTTCTTTCATTTCTTCTTTTCATCTTATCAGTTTTTTCTTTCTTTTTTTTCCCTCTTTTCATCTTCTCAGTTTTTCTGTCTTTCATTTCTTCTTTTCATCTTATCAGTTTTTCTTTCTTTTTTCCCTCTTTTCATCTTCTCAGTTTTTCTTTCTTTCTTTCCTTCTTTTCATTGTATCAGTTTTTTTCTTTCCTTTATTTCATTTTCTCAGTTTTTATTTCTTTCTTTCCCTATTTTCATCTTCTCGGTTTTTCTTTCTTTCTTTCCTTCTTTTAATCTTCTCAGTTTTTCTTTCTTGCTTTTCATCTTCTCAGTTTTTATTTCTTTCTTTCCTTCTTTTCATCTTATCAGTTTTTATTTATGTCTTTCTCTATTTTCATCTTCTTATTTTTTCTTTCTTTCTTTTCTTCTTTTCATCTTCTCAGTTTTTATTTCTTTCTTTCCTTCTTTTCATCTTCTCAGTTTTTCTTTCTTTCTTTCTTTCTTTCCTTCTTTTTATCTTATCAGTTTTTCTTTCTTTTCTTCTTTTCATCTTATTAGTTTTTCTTTCTTTTCTTCTTTTCATCTTCTCAGTTTTTGTTTCTTTCTTTTCAACTTTTCATTTTCTATTTCTTTCTTTCTTTTTATCTTCTCATTTTATATTTTTCTGAATTTTTTGTCTTTCTTCGTCTTTCTCTTATTTTGCCTGTTTCTCACATCTTGTTTCTTTTTCTCTCTTTACTTTGCCATCTTTCTTTCTTTCTTTCTTTGCTAAATTTCATTTTCGTTTCTTTTCTTTTTTTTCTTTTTAATCTTTCTCCCCACTTACCGTTTTCTTTGCTTTCCCTCTGATCTGTTTTCATTTAGCTTTTAATTCGTTCTTTCTCTTCCCATTGTCCTTTCTATTTGACCGACTGCCTCATCTTTTTCTTTGTATGCATTTTTTACATTTCTTTCATACTTTCTATTGACATTTCTTTTTCTTTCTTTTATTGTTTCTTTCATTCTTTCTTTAATTCGCTGGAATCTGGAGAAATGTTATAACATTATATTATATTGAGGCCTACAAGAATAAGGAAGATTTTGAATTATTAATTTAGATGTATGTGTACACGCTTCACGTGCTAGATTGGCGCCACACAATCATCCTGTCACTCTTATGGTTTTGCAGATATTTGAGTTATATTCAAATAATATTTACAAATCTATCCTTATCTGAAATCATTAATATATTTCTCTCTCTCATTCTCTCAACACACACACGTGTGTGTGTGTACAAATTTGAAATGAGTTGACGTCACTACGGATTTCCAGAGAAATTTAAGTTACGTCTTCAGAGAAATATATAATTACTGTAAATAAATTCAGTTTCACTATTAAATGCCCTGATGAGTTGGCACAAACTCAAACATGATTTGGAAACTTCATTTTATCTATCTATCTATCTATCTATCTATCTATCTATCTGTATCTCTCTCTAATAATAATTTTTTTTCGTCACCAGTAGCACAATGCAATCTTCAAGTGGTTATCGAAAACTGACCGTTGCATAATTATGTAACGGTCGGTTTTATGTTATGTCCAGTGCATGAAACTCAGCGTTGTGCTACTATTGAGGGAAAAAAAATGTATATTTATTATTTATATATAATTTATAGCTCTGTTATTCAATATTGAGCAATATTTTATTGAGGACAAAACTCAACGTGCAATACCGTATATTCATATATATATATATATATATATATATATATAGATAGATAGATAGATAGATAGATAGAGTCTGTCTGTGGATGACTATATCTATCTATCTATCTATCTATCTATATATATATATATATATATATATATATATATATATATAGTCATCCGCAGACAGACAGTATCACAGCTTCTCAGTGTGACTAGACGTCCGATTGCTTCAAGCCGGGAGCGATTTGATATTAGTCAGATATCTTAACCTGCGCCAACGTTGCACGGAAGAAATGAAAGGAATTTTAACGTATTTTCCTATACGAAATACGCCGTATATATATATATATATATATATATATATATATATATATATATATATATATGTAGACAAAAAATATGTATTAAGGAAAAAGGCAATAGGAAAAGTCTTATTTTAGCCGACGTTTTTTTCCTTAACTAACACACACACACACACACACACACACACATATATATATATATATATATATATATATATAATTATATTTTATAAAAAAAAATTATAACATAAATATGTTATAAAATCATTACAAAAATAGCCATTTTGTTTCAACACCCTCGGTTTCGTATACACCAATTATATACTTATATATATATATATATATATATATATACACAATAAATTTGAAACTAGATTTGATTATGCTTTTCGCCATTCTAGGCTTCATCTGACCCAACAACAAAAGAAAGAAAGGAGATAGTGTGTATGCTTAAATAATGAATGATATTATTTTCTCGTGATTAATGAAAACGACAGCTTAAGGGAAAAAGTGCCATGCTTTATTATCTAAGCATACACAAAAATTCAAACACACACACACACATTTCTTTCTTTCGTTTTTGGATCTGATGAAGCCTAGAAAGGCGAAACACGTAATCAAATCTAGTTTCAATAAAATGTGTTTTCACTTGTCAAATTTTTTTAAAACTTTGTCAGGATACTATAAACTATTTTAATCAAGCACACACACTGGTATAAGAAAAATGGTTTAATTAACTTTTTTTCTGCAAAATATATTTTGAAAGTCAAGGCATCATAATCTCTTTGATTTCCATTATTTTATTTACCTTTACTCAGAACAGAAATAAAAAAATCAAGTTCTAGTTTAAAATGTTCCCAAAGCACAAGAGACATGATGCTGTCAACTTGGATTGCCAAATTAAGATCTCGTTACTGATAGTTAATATATTAAATATCTCTAGCCTCAGAACGTTAACTTTGAATACAAAACAGTAGAAAACTCAGCGGGACACTTTTTTTCCGAAGAAATCATGCAAATCACAGATAGTGAACGAAAAAACCGCGAAGAATCACATTCGCTTACTGCCTTGGGGGATATGTCATATAAAATAGTTCAGTATTTAAGTTAAAGATCCTTCCCTGTTGTTGACATCACATATTTGACATCGCTATTTTACTCAGCAGATGCCATAAAGACTCAGATTAAAAGCGACCAAGCATAGAAATAAATACAATATGGGAACCAGTAATAAGAAGTGCCAAAGAAAAAAGTTGCAATATGAGCTCTGGTAAAACATGCAATGATAGCAGCAAAAATTGCAATATGAGCACTGGTAAAAATGGTTGCTGAAGACATTAGGTTTATAATACCCAGAAATTCATACATCAAGAACACATGGCACAGTGGATAAAGGCGTTGGTTAGATCCAGTGACAGGACCCAAAGAGTGTGAGTTCAATACTCGGTTAAGGCAGTGGAGAACTTTCAGAGGGAAATTAACAGGAGATAACTGAATAACTGAATCCATAAAACATGGCAACTAGAACAGTCTACCCCAGTGAGCGAAATAAAGGGTTCAGTTCGACATTCCAACAACCTGAAGAAGGCCGGAGCGTACAACGGCCGAAATGTTGTAATAAATCTGGCGACAAAGATGAGCACGATAGTCCGAATAATGTAAATAATGTAAAAGAGTCAAGCTGATAAATTTCTCCAGAAAATCGATGGCTTTCTTTGAGCCAAAACCAATCACTAAAATAGGTTTATTATATTCATAGTGCTCGACTTCTTTATTGCCTGAAGCAATAGAGCGTGTAGTAACTAGTCGTACCAATTTTACAAATTGCTTACTATTTTTCGGTTGTCTTCGGCTCTTGTGTCAAACTGCAAATCATTGGTACAAGTAAAGTGAATAATTGCAATAATTACGTAATTATTATATAAAATTGTCACCAACAATATTTAGCCATTTT